TATTGTTAACCAAGAATATTCAAAATACTTATAACAAGTCTTATACCTATAAGAAATTATTGCTTGGAACAAAACTTATACCTTAGAGAATTATTGCTTAATGCCTTCTTAAAATAATTAACAATAGAGAAAGCTTGTTATTGGATTGAGATAAGACTTTTTTTAATCTTAAAAAAAAAAAAATCAATCCAAGAGAAAAGGAGAAACATTATAATACATCTTAACAAAATAGATATTTTGTTACCTTGCTTTTTTCACTATGTCCAATAGCATCATTGGATTTATTATTGTATAAAATGAAACATGTGAAAGTTATGTATCTTGTTTATATTTCTTGCTACATATAGATCAACCAATCCAAATTTTTAACCAATCATTATTCAGGAGTTCCAGTGTAACCAAAAATCCAGAGTCAACTGAAATAGGCAAAATTCCTTCAAAAAATTAGAAAAAAGTATACATGCTTAAAAGGATAGAGGAGAGATTTGAGAAAAATGAAAGAAGAGTTTTAAAAGTCTATATCAATCTTTTCTGAAGTCTTGAATTTCTGAAGGAAGAGAAGAGATTATTTTTTCTATAGGTTCTTTTTCCTAACAAAGTATTCTTGCCTTTAATTTTATAGATAGGTTTTTTTTATATTTACTTGCTGAAATACAAGAAGTTTATATTAAAAAAAGAAATAAACAAGAGAAGAAAGACTAAAGTTTCTAAATATTAATATTGTTAAAGAAAATGTGTAAACTTTATTACAAAGAAATATAAAATTTTTTTGAAACATTTATTTTTGTATTGGTAAGAAGATCAGTAGAAAAAGTTTTTTTTTAAAGAGTTTAATATATCTATTTTTCAAGTATAACAAAATTATTCAATAAATAGAGTTATGTTGGAATTTCTTAAAAACATTATTATTTAATTATATATATAAATTTATATTATTAAGAAATAAGCAAGAAATTTTTATTGTTATCATCAGCTCTATTTATAAAGGTAACTAAAATTCATAATTGTTATATATTATTCTATTGGATATTTTAAATACTAGTATATTACTTATAGAATTTTATACTGATATTGGCTATTATTTAATTAAATACCATAAAGCATAACTTTCTGGAAATTTGAATAACAATAATTGTACAATGACTTTTTAGATATATCTAATCTAACCATTAAAAAATAAATATCAAATATGGTAATAATAATTATGTTATATTTTTAAAAAAGATAAACCATCTGTTCTTTTTTTAAAAATCATAAAATAAGTTTTTTTCTAAAGTCTACAACTTGAGAGAAGTCATTACTTCTTAATATAATTCTTGAAAAATAGAAGTTAACTAGTCAGAGAAGTGATGAGATAAAAGGTGACAATTTAAAAAAGAAAAAGGCCTAAAAAGAAAAAATTTTTGAAAAAAGTAAAGAAAAAAAAATAATAATAAGGGAAAAAGAAGTGAAAAAAAGAAAACAACTTAAAATTTTCTAAAAAGAAAATTTCCAAATGTAAGAAAGAGAAGTGAGAAAGAGTTTTTTTAATATGGCTTTATATATAGTTTTAAAATATTATATATACTATATATATATATAATAAATAATAGTAATAATATTAAATTATAAATTCAATTATTGACAAATATTCTAATGATTGTTTTATGTTCAATTTGTTATATCTCCAAGTTAATATCTTGCCTAATAAAATATATGGATAATTATTTTTGAAAAAATAAAGTTATTAATTAAAAAGTAAAGAATGTCAAGTGCAAAATGATATAACTTTTAATCATAGATTAATGGTGGTTACAAGTTACAAATTATAAATACAATTTTACGTTAAATTATCTCTGTTAATTACATGCATAATTCTTGATATTAATCAATCAAACAACTTATAAACCTTCAAACGAATTAATGAATGCTTTATTACAAACTGAACATTAGAAGTAGCATACGGTCGCAATTTTCTATCATTATTTTGAAATTATGTCTTTCTTTAATTGTACATTATTTTTTCTATACTTACCTCATTTTATTCTTTTCACTAAAATCAATTTGGTACATATTAAATACCACATTCTAATTAGCTGATGTCGAGTTGACATAATGAAAACTCACCTCAATATCAAATACATGACTTTAATCACAAATGCTTCAAGATGAATTATCGCTTTTTGCCCAGTCCTCAACCGATGTTCCTTTATTTTATCAAGAAATGATTAAAGCCCATGAATCAATAACAGTCAATTTTGTTAACGAGTAAACTTGAGGTATCACGTACATAAAATGCAGCCTCTGCACAAATACTAGTTTTGATGTTTTCGTGCACATTTTTTATGAGGGTAAATGCCAGTTTCTGCAGTGAATAATTTTTAATATAAGTAATATTGATGAATTGGGGAAATTTGTTTTAAAGATTCACCTTTAGAATGACAGATGCAGGAATACAATGGTTCAACAATTCATAGAGATCGGTTCGCACTTTCAGTACACTAATAAGCCAATGAAAATATTAGTTCGAACGATATCATCGTAATTAAATAAGGGACATAGGAATGCTTACTTTGTAGGTGTTTGCGCTTTCATAATGGTTTTTGCTACACTTTCCACAAAACCTTCCCAATCTTGTAAAGGTATTTCGGAGTTGCTACCTAAATTAGGTCTTCAATTTAAAGTCAAGGGATTTTTCAACATTGAGAATTGAATGATAATTTTATATATGTCGAAAATGTCTGAGGAAAATAATATTAACTGTTGCATGACCATAGACTCGAATGTCAGAATAGCCTTTCTTAGATTTCCCTCGGATCTTTCACCAATACGAATTGCTAGATCATTGTGCAAACTTATATTTTCCTTTTCTGCTATATTCCTAATAACCTTGGCAATCTAACCAATAAAGAAGAGGAGAATGAAAAAAAAAGTTCTTTTTTTTTTTTTAGTATAAAGAGCGAAAAGAAAGACAACCTCCTCGACCGTAGGCCCAGCCACCCTAACGAGTAAGCATCTGCTTCGAATAGGTGCTATGATTTTACTCGTAGTACCACAACAAAAAATTATCCTTATATTCGAAATATATTTTTCCATCGTGCGACGTAATGCCGCTTGTGCGTCACGACCAAGCGCGTCAGCTTCATTGATTACAATAACTGGAAAAAGAAAGGTTTGTTAGATGGATAAAGGAGACTATGCTAGTTTTGAGCAGAACGTAATACCTTTGAAACGTTGCTTAGCTTTTACATCTACTTGTTGAGTTTGCGCAACATCCTTTATCAACTCTTGGATGACCACGCGATCATAATTCCCAACGTCACTAAAACGTGTTATTGATCCATTAGCTACTGATAGGCGAAACACGTGGTTATAAATAATTACCTTGGAGTCAGTTCTAGGTGATAAACACTAGATACGATATTCACGTCCAATTTTTTATTTGAAGGTGTGACAAATGTTCGTTGGTCAACCTTAATCTACCGGTGAATTGGAGGTGAGTTCTTGGTCATATGAAATTCGAGAGTTATCCTATGAATAATTATATACCTTTTCAACAGCCTCTCCAAATAATTCTTTTAGGATGCAACAGATTCGCGTTTTTTTTCCTGCACCCGAGGGACCATACATGAGCAAGTGTGGAAAATCACTTGCACTTGTCTGCGAAAAGTATTGTTAGTTCAACTTCACGTGTACGTGAGGTATCAGCTACCCACCATAGTCTTAATCAGATGCGACAAATCTTGATGATAAGTCAATTCTTCAAGTGAAGTGGGCCGGTATTTATCTACCCAAAGGCTCATTTTTTTCTATTATGATTTATTAGTATCTTTTACCGGTACCACTAACCGACTAAAGAAATGCCTAAACGCGTGGCATCGATTGAAATTCATGCTACTTAAATCATGTAATGTCGATCGATGATCCAAGAATTCTATTGGCTACTGTTGCTTCAACTAGGGTAATGCATGAAAAGTACGTATTTGGGTCAATTCTTTCTAAAAAAAATATATTCCTATTTAAAATTTAAAAGCACCATGGACATTAATGAAATAATTCAAGCAAGAAAATCTCTCTCAAAAGCTCTCAAAGAAGAGAAGATTTCGGTAAGTTCATTGCATTTCCTGATCTGACAAATTTTGATTTCCAGATCAAAATTTGCTGGTACTATCAAAGGTTCATTTGTTTAAGCTAAACTCCTTGTGGTCTTTATTACTTACGAAAATAATTAGATTGTTCTTGATATAATGAATAATCTTAATGAAAGAGCTGTTGTTACAAAAGAATTGTTAAAGGTAAGCTTAAACGTTGATAATTATGATAAGTTCACCGCAGTGGCTATTGCTATGTTAACGATTCCATATTTCACAGGCAACGGAGATTGGGGTTTTTATTGGGAATCAACGCTCGCACAAAAATGCAGAGGTTGCGAAACTTGCCAAGGAAATAATTAAAAAATGGAGAACGGCAGTTGGTGTAAATGATTCACCTTCTCCACGCCCTAACGGAGTTAATGGAAATTCTGCCAAATATGATACCTCCGACAATAAATTAGTTAATAAACTTTCAACACCCAGGGAAAGCGGAAAAAATGGGAAAAAACAGCCTACTCTTGCAACCAGTAAGCCGCCTCAACGTGAAAACTCACTAAGTTCAACTTCTTCGTCATCAATACCATCAACACCTGATAACGAACGAAGTTTTGAAACTGATGGAATTAAAATCACTACAAATGATACTATGCGTGACAAATGTCTGTCTTTAGTATACAACGCATTGGCATCCGGTTCAGACGTTGGTAAATATCGAAGCATTCATGAGCTGACTTAGAGAACACCAGAATTCAAAATTACGTTATCTTTGATGAATTATACATCTTGTTTATCGCTGATTGCGCACATAGATAAATCTACGATTCTTGCGCGGGCAACAAAGATCGAACAAGCAGTATACGACCAATTTGAGGGAAAATCAGATAAGAATTATCGTGATAAGCTGCGTAGCCTAATTCTTAATCTTAAAGACAAAAGCAATCCGAATCTGCGAAAACGTGTTATCAGTGGGGAATTACCAATTGACGTATTTTGCACCATGTCCAAGGAGGTATGCTTAATAATGAGACATTAAGAAATATTAAAAAAATAGATTCTTTTTTTTTTTTGCTTTAACCTGACCATCTCTCTTTATATTTGTTGCGGCGCAAAAAAAAAAGGAAATGATTTCGGAAGATCGAAAAGCTCGCAATAATGAGATTAGACAGGCAAACCTCTTTAAGGCAAGAGGAGCTGGACCAACACAAGCTGAAACAGATATGTTTCGTTGTGGCAAGTGTAATAATCGTAAATGCACATATTATCAGATGCAGGTAATTAACGTAGAACTTATAGCACTTTATTTGATATGTTATCCGTATTTACTTGATCTGAGCAAAAAAAATGTACATAAACATACATGTATACTATAAACATATTTGGATCGAATTTTCTATTTTTTCGTGTTGATACGACTCCTATCAGACTCGCAGTGCCGATGAACCCATGACAACTTTCGTCACCTGCACGGTCTGTAACAATCGATGGAAGGTAACTATAAAATGTATATTTTTTTTTAATTGAATTCAATTTTTTTAACAAGAATTCTCTTGACTCCTTGAAAACAGTTTTGTTGAGGTATCATTTAGCTTGCGTAATACCAAAATCTTATATCTAGATGTAACTATGAGGTCACAAAGTATCTTCTTCTTTTTACGATGATAATTTTGCTTGATATTATCGTGTCATCCTAAGACCATCCGATATCGAATAACCAAAGAAAAACGTATTGTTTACATGTTTTATTTTAAAAGTCCATGTCTTATTTATTATATTGGTATTAAGCAACTTAATTATATGATCTGAAAAGTGCTTAATAAATAGAGCTATCTTATTATCTTGATAGAATTCACTTTCATCATCCTAATATGTCATTTCTTAAAAAAAATATTTGTGTCGGTACTCGAGATATCCAGATGCAAACTGCCAACTGTCAACGCAAATTACCATTACTAGTAACATCACAAAATTATAATCTTAGTCTAAAAATACAATGAAACTTTATATTTAATTATTGAATATGAATTGTTTCAAGTATGATTTCTTCCAAATCGAATATTATACTGTATGTGTATACATTTTTGTTTAAGAAAACAACTGCGTTCTGTTTATATAAATTTGATGCGCATTGCACATATAATTAGAATTGGAGTAATGCTTGTTCATATTTATAAATTCTTTTTTTTTTTTTATAAAATACTTTTCATCAAATTATTTTTAAAAAACTTTATTTGCTGCACATGTAATTTTTTTTCAAAAAAATAAATTATATTAAAACTAGAGTCAAATAAAAAATTTTTCTAAAAAAAAAAATCAACTCTTTCAAGTTTATATTAAATTCCGATTAAAAAATTAGTAACCATAGTTACGAAAAAATATTTTGACATATAATAAATTCTCAATTATGACTCAAAACTCTGAGTAAAAATTTTTATTATAAAATAAATTTCTAAAAAATTTATCATTATTTTTTTTTTAAAATAGATAAACATTGTCACTTTATTATAATTGTAAAATTGAAAATTTTATATATGAAGAAAGTAACAACATCTCTTATGTAACTAGTTAATCAGTAAGTTTAATATTAACTTGCCTATGGTAAACTATTTAAGTTGTAAAAAAAAAAGAAATATTAAAACCAATACATATCAAAAATAGTACTAATCAGTTATAAATACCTATTCAGATTTATGTGTAAAAAGACTATAAGAAGTAAAAAAGAAATAAAATACTAAGCAAAAAAATAGATATAAAAAAATTAATTAAAATGTTAAAGATATTTTAAATAAGTATATCACACTGATAATTCTATTTAACTGAAGTATGGTATATGTATACTTATTACAAATAGCCAGGTTACTATCCAAAATATACAATAGTATTGATGATATATTTTTTTGATAGTTTATTTGTTATAATAATTGTATTATTATTTTGTTAATATTGTGATAGAATAGATAACTTAGTTTTATTTTTACTTATTTTTATTGAATTATAATTAGTTTATTTTTAGCAGTAGGATTTATAATTTTATTATAGTATAAATATCTATTTATAGCACATATGATGTAGATTAGACAATCCAGAAAGTCCAAACAGCCCGGAAGGCCCAGAAGACCTACAAGACCTATAATTTATAAAATTATGACATTGCGACATGTAAATCAGGCAACCCAGACAGCCTAGATAGTCCAGGCAGTCCAGATAGCTTAGGATAGAAAAACACTATATAAGTAGCTGCTATCCATGTAATTTTTAATCAGTTTCTGATAACTCACTCCTGTAACTATTGGAATTTCTGACTTGGTATCTTAATAAAGTATTATTATTTTATTAAATACATTTTGGTTACAAAAATTCATTGGGGAATCTTTGTCATACCTTGAAATATTTGTGAAAGATTATTTCTGGAATGACGAACTGTTCTATATAATCTCTAATTCCTTCTAAAAACTACCACTCGAATACAGATCAAATGGATTTTGATCACAATATGACTAGTAATTAGTTTGTTTGTTAATAGTATAATTGGTTTATTTGTTAATAATATGATTTTATTTTAATAGTTATTGTTAAAAAAGGTTTTGTTTATATTAATTAGTGTATAGTATTTTAATAATACAAATTTGTTTGAATAATTAATAGTATTTGATTGATTGATTTTGAGATGTTAATTAATTAACAAAAATAAACTAATTGTAGTTTTTTGTAAAAATTTTTTTAAAAAAAAGTTTTATGATTTTTGTGGCATAGCAAATTATACTGAGTGATAGTAAAAAATAAACAATGAATATATTGCTGATTCTCCAAATTAATAATATAAATATTTTTAATGTATGGTTTAATTTTTTGATTTACAAAGAAAATCTTCAAGAAATGAATATAATTATTTAATAAGAAATATATATTTGTAAGAAGTGAAAATAAAAAAAAACTTCAAAAAAGATTTATAAAAAAGTAAGTATCATAAGTCTTTTCTCATACAATCCAAAGAAAAAGTAAGAACCTCAAACTTGTTTTTCTCTAACCAAAGGTTTCATTCCAATATATCAGTTATAGTTTTGAAAATTGGAATCGAATAGAATCGAACAGAATTGCATGAGGTTTGGAACACTATTAAAAATAATGGTGGGGTATACCCCACCTATTAAATTTAATATAAACTTGAGAATCGAATACAGAATTGAAGAGAATCGTTAGGATCCTTAATATCAGTATACTTCTTTAATTTCCTTGAGGTTCTTGTAATAAAGGTAAAGGATATATGAAAGACTTTGGAAAATTGAAAGGTGAGAAAAATATTTGTTTCTTTAATTTTAAAAGATAATTACTAAAAAAGAAAAATTTTTTTAAAAAAAGTTGTATCACTAAATTCATTTCTAAAAAATTTATATTTATATTTTAAAAAATATATATATAGTAGAATCTCTATAAATTAATACTCCATAAATTAATAATCTATTAATTATCTTCTTAAATTTATAAAATTCTCTAATATTATTTTCAAAATTACTATATAATTTGTTTTTATATTTTAATAATCTTCTTAATTTTATAAAATTTTAAAAAAGATATTATGGTTTCAAAATTATTAATTTATAAAGGTTTAATTATATATATATTCTATAAATAATAATAATAATAAAATAATATAATATTAATAATTCTTTTTTGATTGCATCTACTGTATTTTGTTAAAAACTTTTTTTTATAATAATTTTAAACAAAAAAAATATTTTATACTCTTTATTATAAATAAGCTTTAGTTCAAAAACTCAAAAACTTTTAAAACAACTGATGCAATAGGATAAGATCTCTAATTAAAGTTTATTCAAGTTTAAAAAAGTCTTGCTTATTCTTCAATTATATAAGAAAAGACCTATAGCAATTTTTTTTTTCTGTTCTCTTGCATATCTTCTTACTTTTATTATATTATAAAAACTATTTAAACTGATTTATCAATTCAATAATAATAACAATTATAATAATAATAATCATAACAATAAAGTTAATTACTGTATTATAACAATAATAGCTATAATAACAAATAATATTATATATATTTTACTATTTATAAATCAAATCAATAGATAGGTATATGTCACCCAGTTAAAAAAAAAAAATCAAATCAAATCAAATCAATAAAATAATAAGCTTGTTTTTTTTTTTTTTTTTTTTTTTTTTTCCGTAATCAAACAAGTATTTTAAGAGTTTATTTAATCTTAAAGAAGAATACATATTAGT